CTAGCCAGAGCAGTAGAGACATCATGTGACATCATGTGACATCATAAACATCATGTGACATGTTTTTGACCAATCACGGTACAGTACAAATGTGTTATAATTCTTTACCATGTGTTGCATTTCAACAGGTGTGTTGGCACAAACTTTATTCAACTCAGTCCTCTTTTGATATTGGAACTATGAACCAGCTTAGAAATGCAGTTAACAGAAGAAATGTCTGTATTGATCCAGGTTCTGACTTCAACGCATCCAAAGACTTTTTTGACACATTTACACAGAAGCCCATATCATCAGTGCATTGATGCATTATTTTTCTATGGATTCCATAGATGGCAAACCAACTTCAAATTTTGATGAAAATAAAATGCACAGTAGCTCTAACCCAAATTATTTGTTTGAGGTATTAGGCAATTTTGTAGACATGTTTATAATGGATCAGCTGCCAGTGGTTGGTTCAGATGAAGCTACTAGTTCCCTTACATGTAGATATTGTGGCAAACTGTACAAGGTAGCAGGTTATCTCAAAAGACATGAGAAACTTAAGCATGGTCATAATTTTATCGGTGAACTTCCAAGGCAGTCACCAGAATATGAAAACCAAGATGGTATTTTTAACTATGCCTGTGTCAGTATTAGTATGGGTTTATTGGTAAGAAATTTTCAAGATGCCATTAAAGAAGGGGATGGGGAGAGAGTAATCAGATTGTACAAGTTTTTGATGTTACATTATAAAGCTGATGGTAGACATAAATATGCATTGGAATCATTGTATTTATTAGTGCAGATTGCTGCTATTCTGCCTCCCAAAGAAGCACACCTTTTGAAATGGGAGAGATTTGTAAATGTGAAAGGTGGAGCTGGTAATAACATTCCGTTAGATTTACATTTAGAGCATCAAAACAAGTACTTCAAGGAAGATGCTAAGTCATTTGGTGGTAAATTAACTGAACGCGCTGTAAATAGAGTCAGTAGAGCAGTGCACTCAAATGAACAAATTCTAAAGAATTTAGATAGTCAAATCGCTGTTATTAGACCTGGGTATAAGCATACGACAACATCAACTGATAAAGATCTTAACATTATTCTGGATCACTTAAATAATAATGGAAAAGTATTTGAGTTTATACCTGGTCGTTTTCACTGTGCCTATCCAGATTTTGATAGAGATCCATTTAGATACCAGGATGTTACAAAGGTGAGAAAATGGATATCCAAACACTTGAGTCATTTTGAAGACATGTACTCGTTTGCCTAGTTTACTTTATTGAATCAAATTTTGTATTGTATAAAAACTGTATAAAAATTAATTTTGCTGCACTGTAATTAGGAGGAAGGGGGACTTTAATATCATCACACATCACAAGCAAGTATTATTAACCATACACAATGTTAGCACTCTGTTTTGAAAAACATTTAATACCCACAGGGAGACAGATACATGTACAAGTAATTTTCAGTGTATACCATATTTGTGAATTCAGTACATTTTCTTTCAAATTTAGTTGTATGGTATTTTAAGGAAAGGTGTTTGGGAAACAAGAATAATTGTTCAAATCAGCAAATTGTATTAGCCCCACTGGGTATCAATTAGCATTGGCAAATGTGCACTGATAACACATGTAGATATAAGGTGGGTTATGGCAGGTAAACTGAAGCCTTATTTGGAAAGAAATCACTTTTTTTATGTTCTGTACATATTGACATTTTATAATCACATATGAATGGATGACCCATGGTAACATGTACTGTGTGAAATGTGACAATAAAAGAAAGATGTACAATAAACTCATGATTATTTATTAAAGTCTGTTTTATTTTCACAGCACTCTAGATTTATTTACAATACAAACAAAACACACAGGGAGATGTATATGCTATTTCAGAAAAAAAGTAGCTGGCTGGCGACATTTTTCACTTGATCAACTCAGACAATGCAAGAAAAGCAGCCAGACCCGCCTCCTTCCCCCATGTCTCTCCTATAAGAACTACATATATGTTTTACAGCATTTGAATTAACCTAGTCTATGTGACAAGGAATAATTAAGAAATACTGAAATGGTAATTTTAGTGTTTACACACCTATAAATCAGACACTTTCATAATTTTACTGCAACCCTGGTACATTATTTACCTTGCATGAATGTCCACAAAATTGAAATAAGAATATACATAGAATAGTCTGTGAACCATATTTCTTCTATTAGAAGTGCTTAATCCTTTCACCACCTTTGTCACTTCCCACAAATAGATTTGTTATAAATCTACTAATTTCTCAAATTCTGATTAAGACTAAACTATCCTGCATTGTTTTCATCCAAAGTAAATAGGACTCTAAGAAAATAAAGAAAATTCAAGAATTTCTGAACAAAAATAGTGGCAGTGAAATGGTTAATACAATACTGTTTTCAAAAGTTGGATATATTGGCAAAATCAATGCTTTGTTCTTGCAGTATAAATAAATGACATTTTTTTTCCATATTTTGCAAAGTGCAGTAACAAACTTTATGTCAGTCTCTTGTGGCAATAATTAGGCAAATATATTGACAAGAATTTATGATTTCATACACAAAACAATATGTTGCCAATTTGGTAAAATTATGAGAGGATCTTTACATTCAATCTTTCCAAAACACTCAAATTTACACATTGGCAATCATGCTATACCATAGCACTGACTTGCATAAAAGAACCACAAAGTTTATCCCTGGCAAGACTAAACACAAATTCATTTGCACCTAATACTGCTTCTAGTCGTCATCAGATAAAATTGGAAGATGAACTTTCTGTCTAATTCTGGATTCTACATCACTATCTGATGAATCACTTGACGTATATATATCTGAGCTATTCTCGAAATCACTGTTACTAGACTCTATAACCATGAATAACAACAAAACCTGAGTTGCTGGCCTCTCTGACATTTTGTATGCATGACCAAATCTCATTTGCTTCTTCTTTGTCATGTATACCAAATTTGTCAACCAAACTAGATAAATTAATTATATCATGGTCACTTTTAACAATATTATTTATCATTGGCAATGAAATACCACTAGTTAAATCAGCACCACTGTACAATGGATTTAAATTTCCATCTGCATCATGGGCTTCATCTAAACGTTTGCTACGTAACCGTAGTAACTCACAGTGCAATTCTTGTTTGTATGGTTTAGTTATAGTCTCAGTTTCTTTCTTACTTTTCTCGATATCTTTTTTGTATTGTTCATGTATTTCAATTTCTGCCTTACATGATGCATGGACTAGATATTGTTCAGCAGAACAAAGAAAACAATTACATTTCATAGTACATATATCACAGCAATTATGCAATGCTCCACTAAAAGGAGATGGCTGCCCAGGAAAATGGGATAGCAAGGTTTCTCGCCTGCACTTTGTTGTAGATACATACAATTTCATTTCTTTACTGACACGCTTTGACATGGATTGCTTATAAACTAATAACAAACTATAGCTTTGTTTGCCATCCCTACCACATCTACCACTTTCCTGAAAGTAATCATCAATGTCATTAGATGGACCATAATTGATGACTGTATACACACCTTTGACATCTATCCCCATGCCAAATGCAATACTGGCAAACACTACTCTGACATGACCATCTTCCTTTCTAAAAGAATCCAAAACACTTTCTTTTACTATATCGGGTGTTTGTGAATGAAACATAGCATGAAGACGATTTCTGTCATCATTATATGATTCACCATGTGAATAATCATAGCCATTGTTTCCAAGTTGTTTTCGGAATAAAAGATAGAGCAAGCGACAGTACTTTAGAGATCTGCAAAATATTATTACTCTGTCAGTGTTTATACCATTAGCTAACAGGTCTTCAATCAACCATGTGAAATTCTTTGTTAAATCATTTTCAACTTTTATTACACTATATTTGATATTAGGCCTGTCTGGAGACTCTGCTACTATAATGCAATCCATCATGTTGGTTTATTCAATAATTATTTTCTGTATAGAACTTGTAGCAGTAGCTGTTAGAGCAACCATATGAATGTCTTTTGGTAGTAATGACCTCAGCTCAGATAGTCTGCCATACCATATTCTGAAAACTTTCTTGTCACCTAAACCCCTAAAATTATAAAATATACTATATCTTACACAACTTTTATTAGGTGCTGAATTTTAAAGACTAGAAATTATACTGACATAAATGTTAAATTTTATTTTGCTTGTTGGGCATATGGTGTCCTCAGAAAAGTACTAGTACATTTGTATATCCAAATTTATTTGGTTTGTGACAAGAATATTTTTTACTTGGTATCAACATGGAGGTAAAACCAGATTTTTAATAATACAGTCCAAAACGTTTTTACCTCCATGGTATCAATTATTGTATACAACGCAGCAAATAAGATTCACACACAAAATAAAAATGAAATAATAAAAAAAAAAAAAACATTTCTGCAGCTGCTGCACTATTACACATTTTCTTGTGTAATAACGCAACATGTCAAAATAATACAGTCCAAATGTTGTTTACTGTATACTAGTATACTTTTCTAGGATTATATGCTTCATCGCATGATAACGATATACATGTACTTAGTTAATACCCCTTTATATTAGGTCTACATGTGTTATTTAACTCAGGCCAGTTAGGCAAAAAATACACTGAATACCCAGGAATACTTTATTTTTACTGGAATTTTATTTTCGCTATTAGATCCAGACAAAATGCCTGAAAACTTTTTTCAGTGAAAATAAAGTATTTTACAGTACCAATAAATACTTACCACTTAGCTACACAGTGTGCTTCATCAATGAATACATCACATATCAACTCTCTGTAACATCTATTCTGAAAAAGTTCTCTAACAGATTGATTTTCCAGGACGGATTCGGGACTAGCAAAGACGACCCTCAAATTTCCATTTTTAAGTCGATCTCTTAACCCGGAAACGCCAACCTCTGACAAATATACCGCCTCAATATTTTTTCCATATAAAACCTGCACTTGGTCTTTCATCAATGCGACTAAAGGTGAGATGACAAGAGCTACTGATTTGGTACGGTTATGGAAAATATCATAGCAGAATGGTGCGAGTTGATAAACTGCAGACTTCCCGTATCCTGTAGGCAGATTTACCATTACGTCATGGCCACTAAGGAAAGCACTCAATGCTTCACGTTGCCTTTGTTTCAGCTGAGCTAATGATAGTTCTTTCATACCACAAGCAATAGAATACTCTATTTTCTCGGCTGCAGCAAGTTTCTCGTCGGCCATGTTGACATTTTTTTTTCTAGCAGAAGCAAATTGAAAATGGCGGGACAGCTGTTCGTTTAAAAATTGACAGCAGTAATCGAAGTCTCATTGGCAGTTATTTATAATTATCGCCGCCTTCTCATTAAATATTCATTAGGTCTTGAGTACGAAGAAGACGGGAATAGTACCATTCTATTGGTTGCTATTTTTGTTTTGGAATGCGGGAGCCGCTTCCAGCCAGACCTCGGTCTGACGACCTCGCTTTCGCGGCTTCGCCGCGAGAGGCGCCCTTTCGTAAAACTCAGTCAGACCAGAGGTCTGGCAAGCGAGACTATATGATTCTCAGCGTGATGTTTTATATCTTGTATGAACTGTTCAATAAATGCAAATTGGAATTTAATATACACATGTATATGTACAAAGATATATTAGCCACTATCAATGTGTGAGTAAATACGACCAGTGACGGAAAAAAAATCTCGGCAAAATAAAATTTCTTGATATAACTAAAAAAAAAACCTTCCAGCTTATGATCAATGTGACTGCGGCATTGCTGAACAATAAAATCTCGGCATTTAGCCAGAATGAATACGTGTGTATGCGGCAAGACAACCAGCTCGAAATGAAGCTGAAAATAAACTTCGCTTTCCCAAGCATTTGCATCTCCATGTCAAGCCACACACCTGATCTTGCATTTATAAAAGTAAAATATCAGCATCTCGTGTCGCACTAAAGAAAGAGATATGAATACTGATTAGTAAAATCCCATCAGTTAGAGCCAAGATCTAGTGCTGATAATAATATCTAGTTCGACTTTTATTTTGTGCTACCAGGAACAAATTACTTGTTATCGGGTGTTGAAAAATACAATGTGTTCCGTTAATAACAATTGTTCATAATTTCTTACTTGATTTTATTCAAAAGTGCACAATTTTCTGATATCCGACGATTTCATGAACAAAAATAGCCAACAGCCAGAATCAAGGGGGATCCGCACAGAGGTATGAGTAAATCAAGTTCGCAGACTCATTTTCAGCCAATCAGGCGAGGCGTAACAGCGAGTATTTCCCATAACTCTGTGCGAATACCCCTTAAAAAGATAGTATTTATTGAATTTAAGCCTCCAAGTGACTGTGTTCTCCAACCAGATTTTACCGTATATAAAAATGGAATACATCCTCTGGTCTAATGTATCACGGTAGTTGAGTTTGTTAGCTGATTATCACTCGTGATAGATTTGGTCATTTCATAACAATGGTAATTATTTGTTATTTTTTCATGAACCCTTGATTTACCCGGGCAAATCTGTGAACCATTGGCCGCAATTTTTCAAACTTTGTTTCATTTATTTTGAATGTTAGAGTCACGAATATCTTCAACAACTTTTTATTTATATTTATGTAGTTGAGACCGCAAGATGCTTTCACTTTGAACATCACCGGCCATAATCCTGCTTCTTTAACATAACCACTGCCGAAGTCATCTTGTTTATACGAAGTTACATAAGTCAGCAACATTTTGAATCGTTCATATTTTATTTTAATTACTAAAAAATCTTGTCCGATTGAAGTTAACTTGGTTGAATTGCTGATGAGGTCAAGTGAAATCTATTAACATTTTTAATTTGCATATGATTTGATTTGCGCATAGTTATTGAATGCAGATACTGGGAATCCCACAGATAACAACAGTAAGTCTATATTGGGGCATGTTGTGCTGGTGGTAAAACAAATATGATTAAATTAATTATCACAAATTAGAGATATTATTCTCCCGACTTTACTGATGTAAAGTATGCTTTAATTTAAAATCCATCAGTTGCAATTTAGGTCACTACACAATTTCAATCGTCCAACTGGTTATCACATTCATTCAATTATTGTCATAAATAACAACAGTTTATTAATTAGCTAATGCCAGGAGATTACCAATTACAGTATGGTGATAATTTATTAATAATTAATTGAAATTGAACTACAATAAATGTATTCTGAGGTAATAACTATACACATGTTACTCTAGCCCTTAAAACCACTTCATAGAATGTATAGACTTACTATAATCACACTGTCATAATACGTGGACTTGAAATCAAAGTAAATGTCGTCTAAATAGATTGCGCATTCGTGAGCTTGTACTTGGTCTCAAATATTTGATTTGAATGAATGCAATTTCACGAACATAACTAGTATATTACTTATATGATTAAAATTACAAAGGGAGACAAGAAAAACAAATGTAATATGTAAATAACGCTGCTCTAAAGATTGTCGGCGTTCTATAGGAAACAATAAAACGTTGAGCCGATGTCTACAGGAGTGTAAACATTCACAAACTTGCCTAATGTCCAGTAAAATGTCTAAACAATAATATACTACGTCTACATTGCACTAATAATGCTACTATCATTTACCTACAAAAATTACTGAGATTATTGATTTTTAGTGCTCAACACATTGACACTGACATTGCAAATTTCGTCCTTCACCGGATTCTTCAATACTGAGTGTCGTCTCTGTCTTTGTTGCTGGTGTTGGTAGTACAGTCACGTCTTCAATCGCCGGGGCTATACAGTCTGCATCATCTTCTGGAAAATATTGACAATCAAAGTTCTCCGGCCATTGAAATCCAAACCCAGCCATGACTGGAGCGCATCCTCGTCGGGTTGACTCGCACAGTGATCGACAAGGAAGTGCAGTTCTGCATGGTGGTAAATACAATGAACACAGAAATTGACTCAAGTAAGGTGAACACTCAATTTCGACTAGCGGCCAAAACTGACGCATTTCCAAACTGATTTCATCTTGGTTGGACTGGTTGAATCTGTTCGGAAGTTGGGTGCGTCTGTATGGCATATCCTGGCACATTGCCAATCTGACTCGCTCACATTTTTTCCCAGCAATGAACACACCGTAAAAGATGCATACCACGAAGATGGGCAATAAAACTCTGATTGCAGTCATGGCTATAAAACAACATGACATAAGTGAGTGAACATTACAGAATGAGTTTACATAGCAAGGTCATGACAAATATGGTTGGTTAAGACCTAGAGCCTCATGAATATTCATCAACTGGTGATAATAATATTGCATAAATATATACATAAAATTCATCTGTAAAACCAACCACGTTTATGGATAGAAACTATAGCACTATATGTTTGTTACTTATGAGTAATATTCCAGATCGCATACATTTCCGATGCACATTCTATCGTTTGGGTTAGTATCATAACTAATACCATTATGCAGTTCCCAACACTTAATTACTGAACATTCGAACACTGATAATATAAATCAATAATATTTCTAATTCAACGTATTATATAGTGTGATATGTGTGTTGTTATGAGTTTACTCGTATTACATTGCCATAAATGCGTGCTTTCACTCTACACTAGCACGATTGTGTGCATGCATATTACAATGCTACCATTGAATAAAACACTAGCACTACATTAATCACAATAGGGCATATTGATATTAATTATTATTATGATCACAATGGTAACGCTTCAAACATGTTAAACGAGAGACACACAGATATACAACTCAATGTCAGATTAGAGAGAACAGCGATCTTAAAAAAAAACACACTACATGCTATTGAATTTTACCAGAACGTATTGTTTTGATAGTGACTAACTTCATTTCATCTTTTAAACATTTTCAATGCTGCGTAATAAAATATAATTTATTAACGCCACATATGTGACAGTTCGAGGAGTATTTGTTATAAAGTAGTAGTAAAATGTATTCTTACCTGAATTGCTCAAAAATTCCCAATACTCGGTCGTGTGCAGTTAAAAATAAACTGCCTACAAAACTATTTCCAGGTCTATTTTATACATTGGGCTAATTACCATATTTATTGATAATTATTAAAAAACAATTTCCTATTTTATAATTGTCGTCACAAAAGAAAAAAAAACTGGAATACAATTAACTTTTCATACAATAAAACTAAATGGTTTGCATTTGAGTGACATTCGAAATCGACACCACTCAAGGACATGGAAGTATGCCGCTTTAGCTTAAGAATTGATATTGTTCAACAGTGTACTAAGTTTGACTTTATACAAAAAAAAATTCTGGTCAGAAACATTTCGCATTGAGATGATCCAGTACTTACATTTCATTGGTTCGGGTTTCAATATATAGAAGAGTAAGTCAAGTAACTCACTAATTTATTTAGGTAAATAGGTCAATATTATGATGTTCCCTTCCCACGGGGTTGAGTGTGGGTGGACGGCTATTTGCATGTTAGTTGTTGGAGTAACCAGAACTAATCTCACACAACACCAGTGACCTAATATTACCCGTCTTCTCATTATTGCATTTGTATTGGCATAATTACTACTCATGTTTGGTACATTGCTCGAGTAATTCAGAGGGTGGAGCTTTGTTTGCCCATAGCAATAGCGCCATTTTCTAGGTTGTACCTGGAATGATAGCAAGGAAGAATGAAAATGATTCTAGGAAATGTTTTTATGAAGGCTTTATTAATGACCGTTCACACGTAGTCTACAACAGAAGCATATAGGTTCCTCTCCACATGCATGCATATCTAGCCGTATCTCACACATGCTTTGACCGATTATGTTCAAACTACAAAAATACATCGGACATCATATCAGGCAAATGCACGTTCATTTTCGACACAATCAAATTCAAATGGGCTTACTGAAGTTCATCTTTTTCAACTCAATCCGGCCAGTCCATACCTGCCGTGTTTTGGGTTCCGTTCGTCGTCATTTCTCAAAGACGCATGGAAAGACAAGTCATTATGGGAGACATGTGCACATCGATTTGTTTTTGATTTGGTTGACTGTGATCAACTGACTGCCATTTTCGTCCAAGAAAACACCAACATTCAACATTTGGACATGTCATCAACCGTTTCTTGGACATGCCTTCCCCAATTTCATTCAAACTTCGAATCGACATCAGTCATAGTATATTACTGATGTACGTCATTTTTTTGGTGATGCAATTCAAAATGGCGGACTGGTGGCCCTTTTGTGAGTGTTATGCTCATTTTACAAAGATGATTGTACAGATTTGGGTTAAATTTGGTACGAAGGCAAGATATCGCTTTGTTTTATTTTGTTGACCAACTGACAGACAATAAATGTCTTAAAAATCAACATATGGACATGTCATTTGAAGTTTCTGGAGCATGCATTGAGCAATTTCATTCAAACTTAGTCTTTATACCTGTTTCATGCACATTTGTAGTTAATATGCTAATCACTATTCCAATACATTGTATTCAAACATAAACTGACTGCTTTTCATTGTTTGACAAAGTCACATGACGGGAGCTATGTCATTGACAATGACTTGTTATTCATATTTTGGCACATACTTGTTTATGTTAGTTTGTCGCTGATCAGATCAAAGTTGGCCGAATGGCAAAACAGGATTTGTCAGTTTTCTTCAAATTTGAACCCAAACATTATGCATGTCCATGATGACATTTTTAGCTCCTGTTTGTGAAACTGAGCTTATATGGTTCCGGTGTCTGTGGCGCTGTGATTAAAATTTGTTCCACTGATAACTCAAGATCCTCAAGATTTCAATTCAAATGAAATTAGGCACACAGCTAATATATGACGAGTAGATGTGCTGATTAGATTTTCATTCCATGCATGACAATTAGCTAATTATTGCATTAATTAATTTATAACAAATATTTGACTTTGGTGAGTGGCTTAAACTGCATATTGTGTATAACGTATTCTGTCATAAAAATACTGGTAATATTTCATTGGAAGTTCTGAATATTTGCGAGTTTTAGTATATAAAGATTTAATATGTCGTGATACAGCGACTAAAAACATCAAATGTATGTGGTTTTATCAGTGTGGCGAGTACACATGCCCAGTTACAAGAGTGGTGCAGCCATTTTTTCAGTTTGTCGGAAAAACAGGACCCTTTCTGATTTTTATAAATGCAAGTTCAATTTATCTTTGTGCATCATATTCATCCATAGACAAAGCCAGGCAGAATCGAAATCTAAGGCAGAATCCGGTCCCGTGTAACTTTCTGCTAATCTTGATCAATACTATTGGGTTCAAAAATTATTTACGATCAGTCAAATTATAGTGATCATGGTTGGCGTTCCATCCATTACTGACCTTCACTGCTATCGTGACACACGGGCAGAGAAAAGGAAAGCTGAATCCCCCTGCGTCTAGCAAACACCCAACACAACGGCAAGGAAGTTTGTCAGTTGTATTCAAGTTATAAAAATCTGTTTTACGCATTATGGCTACACAACGTGACAGAAAGTCTTTCCGTGTGATCGAAATTGTAAGCAATGTATTTGCACACGACTCTCAGTGTCTCAGTGAGGTTCATTAATGGTTCTCACAACTACCTACAAGGCATATCTGGACAATTTTTATTTCTGAAAAGTTAACACATTGGCACCCAATTTTGAGATTTCAACCAATACAACTGAAAGTTTAGATATACATAGTACTGAATGGGGACGTCTAGTACAAATATTTCCTGCTGCAGTTTCCGCCATATCGCATTTAAAAACTTATCCATCATAACCCAACATTAATTCAACTCTATTAAATTTTGCAGCAAAACGAAAAACGACTGACAGAGCTTTGGATGAATGCAATATTGCTAATGCAGCCTTTAAACATTGTTGCAATAAAAACCGTATTGCCAAACTGTAACTGGTGATGTTATCAAGGAGTGGCAAAAGAAACTGCATTCTGCACAAACAAGAAATCGCCTGCTTGACCTGTACAATTTGACATCGTGTACCCACAACAAATGCAACATATTTTTAATAGAGGGAATAATTGTTTGCAGGTAAGTTTCTCTGACACACACATGACGATTTCTTGTGCCCATTTGAAAACTGATTATTGAAATTTAAAGCAGCAAGTAAACATATTCATTTGTATTCACAGTACTGATTTGTGTACACTGTTAGGAATTCCATTAAGGACTTATCATCGGTATAAAGAAGAAATACGTAAAGGTTATGTATGAATAGAAGGTCTGCCAAATGTCGTTCATGGTGAAAGAGGTAGTATATAACATTACCAAGAATATTGTCAATTGGGGGTTATAATGTACATTGATTTCTATAATTTAATTCAGAACAGAACTACATTATAGCGATGAATGTACATTATATCTCCTCCATTGACACCACACAGTGAAAATACGAGATAAGAAAGTAAATTTATATTAAGGCTATACTACAATTGACTCATTGCTATGTCGAATATTCATTTGTTGCGCTGTAACCTGGTTATTTCATTTTGTTATGTTTTTGTGTGCGTGTCAAATTTTAGGATGGCTTGCCTAGAGCACACATAGGATATTTTATTAACAAATATGGCGATAAAACACCTGATAGTGAAAAGACAATGTTACCAGTATGTTCAACAATTTAAATATGCTTTTAAAAAATACTAAATATTATATCCCGACATGGACATTGTTGGCGATAAAAGATTTTACGCTATTTGGGCTGAGGAGTGCAAAGGCTTAATATCATTCCAAAGGTACGTATTTTATATGGTGTTAATAAACTAAACCAGAAGCGGTGTTAATTTATACACCTGCATGCGTGCGCGTATCTTAGTCTTAAACTGTGGTACATATACATGTATAATTCGAGCAATATAATGTATCAAATGGGGATACCTAAGTTTACGTATGTCTGCTTTTTGTATTACGCAATACACAGTTTGGCCTCTACTAAATTCAAATTGATTAATGTGACCAATTCAATTAAATGACTGTTTTCAATTATCTATAGGTGTGTAGAATGACGAAGTGTGATGAATGTACGGCATTAAAAGACACCTCAGCGAAATGAAGAAGTCAGGGAAACTCTTCTTGCCCAAAAAAACGGATCATCTTAGAACGTCTTCGTAAGTAATTACATTTGTTTCTTTGTCTTATTTGTTGATTATAGTTTTATAGTATATAGATTATGTTCTTTTCATTTATGTTCCTAATATAGGTCCGAAGTTTATGAAATGTTTTAATGACTCGCATGAATGAATCATTTCCATTATGGCCGTTGGAAATAACATTAATTACTGAATGTCATTCATTAATCAAACCGTTTAAAAATCAATCACGTGATGATAGTTAAAGACACTAAAATGTATTTTAATAATGTACATGTATTATTTTGGTTTGTATTATTTAGATCACTGCGGCAGGGATATGGTCACCGTCGGGCAGAGGCTGCAAGAAACCCCCAAAAAGTTATTAAATATTATTTTCGACAGTATGGACAACAAAAAAACAAATGTGCCACACTTCAAATTTTGGGATGATCCAAAGGTAATAAATGATCTTCCATACGATGTTAAAGCAGAGGGGTTGTCACCTGCGCACGTGCGGTAATTGAGGTTTCAATCGATGATAACAACACACGCTAAAAACGCAATGGCTCGTGGGTAGAACTTTGTTTGTAAACAACGAAACGCCATGGCTGTCTTCCGCATGCGCAGGTGACGACCCTCCCCGATTTAACATATAGTTAGTTGTATATACGAATGTACTTTGAATTTAAAAACAAAACGAAAGTCACGTATCTTTCAATTTTACGGACATTATATTGCCTATGCCATGTTTAGGTTGGCTAAGATATTACATTTCTTTTCCTAAACAAGGTTATTTTCTCGACATTCAGACAAATAATAGTCGTTGCGTGTTTTAGCAGCTAGTTAAGGTCACGAACTGAGCAAAACCACCTAACATTATTACATTACTGCTTTTTAAAATATTTAACATACACCATGTTGTACT